CTGATCATTTATGTATACATTTGTCTATATCTATCTCGATTCGTTTTGCCTGTTACAAACAACCGTTATGTGAACAAAGTTATAATACCCTTGTGCACAAGTGCGCTCGGGTATAAAAATTAAATTTTATGACTCTTTATGGGATTTTTAGCTTAATCCAATTTTGTGGTTTAATTTGTTTTTTTTTTTGTTTGCGGTTCAGTCATTGTGACGCGTGGGACATTTAAACTATATTTTCCTCAAGCTTTAAACTTTAAGTAATTTCTCTTTAACCCTTAATTTGACAAGTTTCAAACTGTTAACATCTGAATTCAGATATCAGTTTAACACGAAACTAATAAAGTACAAAACTTAAATATATAATTTACACAAGAGATTTTCGGTTTCCCTAGAGGGACAAACTATCAAAATATTTCGTGCATAGCGGCATTTTATGCATTGATGATTTATAATATTAGTAAGGATTTGTATTTTTTAATATAATTTTTAGATTTCATTGTTTTAAAAAGAAAAATATATTTTCTTTAATTTCACTTAATTCTTAGAAACTTATTTTTTTCTTCTTTCAATTGAATCTTTTCTTTTGAATTTAATTTTCTTTTAGTTTTTAAAACTTTATTTTATTAATTTTTTTTTTTATAATGTAAAAGTCATTTTTAAAAACGTATTTGATGTTGTTATTTTTAATTCAATTTTTAGATTTAATTTTTTTACATTTTTTCACAATTCTCTTGCGGAATACTTTTATCTTTCGAAAGGTTGTGGCAGGTTGAAAGACAGTTGCCGGAATTATTGTGTAAAACTTCGATTCCTTAAAATTGGTCCTTATTAAAATGTTGAGTGATTTTTTGGAAGTGTTTGACCTTTTCAAATGTATAGTTAAAGTGGAGGTGGGCGTGGTTTTTATCCAATTCAGCCCGTTCTCAATACTAACCCACCTTCCCTAGATAACTCAGTTTTTGCTCGAGTTATCGCTTAATCGAATTCTATGTTCATAATGTCTATATTATCTCGATTTCTTTAGGCTGTCACAAACGATCGTTATGCGATCAAAATATATCAATATAAAAACACATTTGTTGAACTTACAGTAGGTTCCGTTATAAGTTGATTCGCTAACTTTAGCCACAAAGTTTCAGGATAGTTAACACGATAGTAGCCGATCTGATCGTAATTGAATTTAATCCATTCAGGTGCAGTTGTCAATTCAATAATTACTGTAATTGAAATTAATTACGTTTTATCAATTTATACGTATTTGTAGTGAATGCAAAATCACATATGCCCTACATTCGGTTTGATTATAGTAGAACCAAGCTCTCGTCTCATCAACCGTTGCATTTGTCTTGTAAGTAATCGGTATTGACCAAGTATAACTGCAAAATAAAAATTAATTAAATAAATGCTTTAAATGTTTACCGTTTGATTTTGTGCTTTCAATTTCACCACTCACTTAAACGGTGAATCATCGTAGATGCCTTCGTAATCATCCGGATTGGAGAAGAAACGTCTTTGTGTAAGTCTAAATCTTGTATCGCTTAATTGTTCTACCTCGACTACTGGTAAACCCATTTGTTCTGTCCAAGTATTCATAATCGATTTTACATCAATGCCCAAATTTAATTTATCGATTTCCGTTAAAAAGTTATCCGTCACAGCATTACTATATTTGTACTCATTCAAGTAATTCGTAACAGCCTTTTGAAAGTTTTCAGCGCCAATAAAATCTTCCAACATTCGGATTATGGATGAACCCTTCGAGTAGGTGATGGTATCAAATATTTCAGTAATTTGATCGGGATTCGCTACAGTTTGTATAATCGGATGGGAACCGAGTGTGGCATCCAAAGAGAGGACCCTATGTAGAGTATCGGTGATAAATTGGTCGCGCTAAAATTAGAGTGTGGATTAGAAAAAACGGTTTACATAAACATGTACATACATAAATTAAAATTAATAGCTACATAAGATATACGATATATATATGATATATGATGTATGTACATAAATATAGAAGCGATGAAGCTAACTAATTATTTATAAACAATTCAGAAAATGCGATACAGAAGGGACTGTAACAGATGTAAATATAATAATAAAAACTATTGTTGAAACATTAAAATTTTTAAAAAATTTTTTGCGATCATATTTAGTATTTTCCTGGTTGGTCACTATATGTATGTACATTAAAAGGCTTCCCTGATTAGAAATATTTTAAAATAAAAGCACGCATATAAAAATATTTCGTTTAACTTTTATTTAACTTGATTTCGAATTTTTAAATAGGTGGCAGCCATTTTAAAATACATTTTGGAAATAAAGCTTTCTTCTTGTTTGACACTCGTATCAAAATATTTAATTTAACTTTTCAATTTTAATATCTAAACAGGTGGCAAATCTCTTGAAAAAATATTTTCGATATAAAGTATCTTGAAAAATTATTTTAAAAATACTTCGTTTAACAAATTAAATTAAATTCGAATCTCTAAACCGGCGGCAACCCTTGTCAAAAATATGTTCGCGACCCATATTAAAATATTTATTTATTTTGTATGTAAATTGACTTACACTTTTTAAATAGCTGTTAACCCTCTTAAATTTTGTTTTTATGCAACTCGTTATTGACCTCTTCATCCATTTGAAAGCCACATTTTTTTAATGTTGTTTTTTAACTTTTAATTAATTGATTTAACTTTTGAAAAATATCCTATATGTATATTATTCCAGACATTGGTAGGATTAAATAAGTAGTACGTAAATAACCCTGTAGGATCTAACACTAGACTTAGAGCACACCACAAACTAGACTGTAGGTGAATGTAAGTAGTCCAAAGTTTGGTCCATGCACATGTAAAATTCTTTAATTCATTTAACATTGAGTGACCAAGGCTCGGATCGATTGTCCGGTTCTTCATGACATTGTAACCAATTTTAAATAAAAACTCATACCTTTTGCGTTACATTCGGAGCACCTTTAGTACAATTCACCTACTTTTTCACTACTATCTGTGGTCTAGATACAAAACTACTATACCTGCGATTGTATTTTTCGACCAATCTTTCCTTCAGGGAAGCCATCGTGGGCGATATATGGTGTGAGAGCTATCCAAGGTGTTAGTGTTTAATTTGGGCAAAAAAAAAGTTCTTCATATCCAGAAAATTAATACAAAATCAAAATAAAATCATTCTTCGGTGCCTTGACGAACTTTTGATAACAATTTGTAAGTATTTGACTTTTCGACATTCTTATAATATTTACTTTACACGAACTTAAAGAATTTACTTACCATTTTCCATTCAGGAAATTTCGCCTCAACGCCTATATATTCAATGTAGCTCGCAAAACCCTCATTAAGCCATAAATCGTTCCACCAAGCCATCGTGACTATAGAAAAAATATGTTAATCAGTTAAATATAGTATAGACACAAATATTAAAAGCTCAAAATAGTTAAGAAAACTATAAAGTAATCGTATATACATAGTCTAGCACTGAGCGCCTACAGAAGTACGCACACACACACATATGTATAACCCATATATGTATGTAAGTGCATAAGCATAGAAGCTTCACAAAACCGGTTAATGCCCATTCAATAAGCCCTAAAAGCACCACCAGTCCTTTGATAAATTATTAAATTTATGACTTAGAAAGCAACCCATAAAACTAGTATTACTGAATTTATCAGTACCGCAATAACTAAGCAATCAATAAAATCTAAAGTTAAATTACCTAAATTCCCGAACCACATATGCGCAAATTCATGAGCGATAACGCTCGCAATATTTTGCCGATTTGCCGTTGAGCTGACGTTTTCGTCATAAAGCAATGTGGTTTCACGATAAGTGACCAAACCCCAATGTTCCATAGCACCAGAGACGAAGTCTGGTATGGCAGCCATGTCTGAAATATATATATATTTTTTTTAAGACAGTTCATCGAAGCGGTTTGAACTCTTTGTATTAGTTCTAACAATGCTTACCCAACTTTGGCAATGGATATTCCACTTGGAAGTACTGAATGTAGTATTCAATAACCGTTTGGCCAACTTCCAGCGCAAAATCAACCTTATCAAGTTGTTCAGGAGTCGCAAAGGCGCGCAAAGTAAAGTTTTCGCCAATGCCATTTGTATTGATGGTTGTCGATTTGTTTGCAAAGTCCGAAACAATAAAACAGGCCAAGTAAGTGCTCATCGGCACGCTCTGATTGAAGAAGACCTCTACGTAGTTACCTTGATTAGACTCGCGCTAGTTGCGAAATAAAATATAGAAAACATTTTTGGTGTTCAAAAAAAAGGAAAGTAAAACACTCTCCCTACCGAAATATCCATATTGGAGAGCGCATGGTAATCACCTTCCTTGGGATACACTAAAGTGATTAAGAAAGTTGCTTTCATGGCTGGCTCATCGAAACAGGGGAAAGCCTGACGCGCATAAGTCGGCTCAAACTTAGAGGTGGCAATAACTCTGTTGAATAGAAGGTTGAGAAATAAATCAAAATTTCAATGCTAATTTAGCTGCTCACTTCTTGCTACCATCCGCTTTGGTGTACGACGAACTGTAAAGCCCCACAATTTGCCCATCCATATTACCCTCGAACAATATGCCAACATAGAAAGCCCGCGCTGCTCGTAATTCCTCACTCAACTCCACCACTAAGAACTCACGTACCGTATCGAGGTAGAAGTTCTTCACAAACACAGTTGGATTATTGGTACCGGTTAGATAGACATTATTTATAGTCAGTTTGCTGGCATGCAACACAATTTGGTTGATGGCTCTCGTCGTGTTCACGCGGATCAATATTTGGCCAATAAAGTTACCCGTATCTATTTCAGGATGTAGATAAAGATCATAGCTGATTGGGTAAATGCTGTCGGGAAGTCTATAGTTTATCTGGCCAAAGAAAGAAAACAACGAGTACAAAAGTCAATTAAGTAATAAATTTCTGTAATAAATTGCAAAAGTTGCAACTCACAACTCCCGGTACTGGTGTTGTAGTCTCCGGCAGCACAGTGGTTGTCGCAATAGTGGTGGTAGTGACAGCAGTTACAGTGGTCGTACCAGGCCCAGCTGTAGTGGCGGTTTGCAACTGATCCAATTCGTCACGTGCCTTATCCAACTCATCCTGCAGATTCGACTTTTGCACAGCTAATACAATCGTTGATACCGTGAATGCAGTGAGAGCTAATCCCAAGCCTATTGCCACCAATTTTGCGGTGATAATCATTGCGTACGAAACTAATTGTCCTTAACGATTGCAACTAAGTATACGAAAATAATTCAAATTGAAGGGCTACCAACAAAACAGCACCTTCCCGCACGGCGTCTTAGCCGAAACTAATTCTGTTGCAATATTTCTCGAAAAGGCCAATTAATTATAGCTGATGTTATCACATCACTATTCGCTCTTTATCAAACAGCTTGCTTAATCTAATCGCAACTGCTGCTAACTAAAATACATATATATGTTTACATTAGGGTGGTAAAAAAAAAATAAAGTTAGAACTTTAAAATATACCCCTATTTTTCATTTTGAAATGAAAAACAGTTTATTCAAAGCGTTCAAAGTTTTCTATGTATTTTACATGTGAAAAAAAACAACCCTTCCTAGAAATGGTATAGAATTCTTGAAAATCAATATTTTTCGATCGAAGAACTCTGGTTCTTTTCAGAAGACCTCCAGTAATAATATCCAATTGTTTATTTTATAATTTTTTAATACCAGTGATTTTTAAGAGTCCCCTATAATATAGTTGATAAAAGAAAATGGTTAAATAAACAATTCGGGATTGTTGCTTAAAGTCTCCTGAAGAAAAACACAGTTTTCCGATCGAAAAATATGGATTTTGAAGAACGCTATACCATTTCTTGGAAAACTTTTTTTCCCCCATGTAAAATACATAGAACACCTTGAGCGACCTCGGAATATTTTTTGATTTCAGAAACAAAAGGGTTCTAATTTCTTCGGTATAAAACAATCTTAGGTGGTGAGAGCATAAATTTTCCGACTTTAATTTCTTTTTTTTTTTTACCACCCTAATATCTATACATACATACATATGTATTGAAGGATATATGTATGCACTTAAAAACGGGTATGAATAAGATGGAAACATCAAAGTCAATATGTATATTATTCGATCGTGTACAATGCCGCGTATTTGCCATAAAGACGGCAATGAGTCCATTGTTACTTTTGCTTTTGGTAATATCTATACTAGGCAGTAAACATAATCTGTAGTATATAAAATAGGGTCTGCATAGTTAGACCATTTATCACTCAAGAACGGCTGCACAGATTTGCATGATCTTTGATTTGTTGAATTTGTCCCGCTCCGAATAGCAGAACAAAAAGAGGAAAACTAATTTTTCCTTACATTTTGTATTTTTGTGTATTTTTAAATTGACTAATAAAAGTACAAAATTTTTAATAAACGATAGCAATAATACGATTTTATAAAAACACAAAAAAAGGCCACTTTTTATTTTCTTATATATACAGGGTTTATAGGTACCAGACATCTGCAGCGGGTGCATGATTTTCGTGTATACTCGATCATCTAACAAAACCCGTTTTGCATCGTTCTCTGTATACGAGCAGAAGTATTGTTCGTTATCGACTGAGCTCAAGACGAACATGTTGGCCACAACACCCGATTGCTTTTCATACATACTTGATTGGGTTCGGGTGCTTTGCAGCTCAATATACCCGGGTGTTCGAGTTTCAACCCGAGTGTGCACAAAATTTTCTTGATTGGCTTATGACGTTTTTGTTTCTACAAAAAATGTTGCCTTCTCATCGCGGTGTTCTTAGTTTTTGTGCGTAGAGGGTAAAGAGAAGGTTGAATTTTTCGGTAGTTTGTTTAAGTGTACATTTAACCATTTCTTATATTTTTGCTCATACAAAATGCGGCATCACGACGCCTACATCCATTTAGGTATAAATGTGTGTAGATCGGCAATGCCCAAGCCCTATACACTCGGTGCACATTTATTTTTTGTAAAAGTACTTATGTACCTACATAGTTTTAGGCTGTGTTCTAATATATACACACACAGCTTTCCACGCGAAACTATACGAAATAGATGCAAAAACATTTTTGTCTACTTCGCTTCTAATTTTTTCATTGCGTATGCACAAGCACAAAGCAACAACATTTTCGTATGCTTTGTGGGAACATATTGGCGCCAGTTACCTTCAGCGTAAATTTCTTTGTTGTCCTGCATTTTATCGCAATGTTCGGGTGTCCGTTTCATTGTTACACAAATTTTCGGGTTAGCTGCGGGTGTCCGAGTGTGGTGTTCGCTTGTGCTCAATTTATAGCGAGGGTGATCGAACAGACTCGTTCGTAACCAAAGCAGCTGTCGGGTATGCATCTCGATCGAACACATAGTTGCCGAGTGTGGCGTTCGCTTGTGCTTGATTTTTAGTGAGTGTGATCAAAAAGGCTCGATCATACTCAAAGCTGTTCTCTGATAGGTACTACGTACCATAAAAGTTTCGTTTGGTACTTTTCATTTCTTAAGCAGAGATTACACGATTTGTACATTTGTTCATTTGGCAGTCAGGGGGTGGTGTTTTCTAGAAATTTTTATCGATAATGAGTTCAGCACATTAACGACTTTCCAAACAACACCACTCTGTAACGGTGTAAATGGCCAAATCTGTAGAAATGTATTAATCATGTGTTGCCTTCTTTGAGCATAGTATTCTGTTCCTGTTGCACGTGAAAAATCTGTCAAATTGCTTATCAAATTTCTTTCTGTGAAATAAGTATGAAATTCCAAAACATTTCCTCAACAAAGTACTGTATTCTGTACACGCAGTGATAAAGCTTGCAACATGTTGGCAACATGAAGCTAGCAACAGATTTTTCATAGCAATTTAAAACATAGCAAAACCGCCCACCGACTAGTTGCAAAACCGCCTAAATCTCCGTTGTGGTAAACATTAGATTTGGTAACCCTGAACTGCAGGCATCGAGATTTATGCATAAAAACCGTAAAATCGTTGGGTCTCTTCGCGAATACAGTCATTGAGACTCTGGAATTTTTTGCGCGGTCCAGGTATTGGCTCCGATGCAGCCGTTAGGCAGCAATTTCATTTCAGTAACCTAAATCCCGAAATATAATTTCGCTGAATTTTCAATAAAAAAAATCGATGGGTATTGTACATATGTATTTCTTTATTAAATTTCAATTCTATGCTGAAATTTCCCCTTTGTTACTATTCAAACGCTGTTCTCCTCCAACCATGCGCCAATCCTATTTTTATTATTCGATAGCCACACAATATTGTTCTTTACTGCCTCCAAAGCGCGTACACGTGCGGCTGCACCAGCACCAGCCTCTGGATATTTAGCAAAGAATTGCTCCATTTCCTCCAATTTGGTTTGCTTGTCGAAGCGTGCAGTGATTGTCGGAATCAAGTTGCCTAAAGTGCGTTCGTTGATGCCAAAGCGTTCAACCAATTGTGGCCATTGTTCGCGCACATAATCCCAGACGATGGATTCACCTACAGGATTGGCGGATATATATCCCAGACATGTGAAGTAGTCTTGACTGCGCACATTTTCCTCGGACCAAGCGAGATTCACATAACTAAGTAAAGTGAGGCGGAAACGAAGATAAAATTAGAGTAATTTATACAAACAAGCTTTTGTGTTTTTAAATGCATCACTAACTTGCTCAAAATCCATGGGACTTGCACTGCGGCAAGGCCGTACATCAATTTCGATTTTTCGTTAGCATCCGTTTCGGCAATAAAAAGTTGCCACATAGCTTGCCATGCATCCGCATTGCCAATCGCTGACATGCCGTAATAGTAGATGGTTTCACGTATATCTGCATGTGGGCGTGTGGTTGGCTCAGCAAGCCATGCTGTGAAGCGTGTGGCAGCCTCTTCTAAACAAGATTCTAAACCAAGCGAACAGGCGGCGCTGAGTATAGTTTGACGCAAGCGGCTGTTTAAGCAGTGAAGCAGTGTATAATTTTAGTTTACAATTTGTAGAAATTTCCAAAAAGTAGCATCACATTAATTACTCACTTTTCCAAATGATCCGTACCGACCGTCCATGTCACCTGCTCATAAATTGGCTGTATTAACGCAAGCGCATATTTCTTGTAATTCACATACGCTTCCGTGAACATTAACGAGCGCTTGAGTGTAGTCAATTTTGTGGCTGCCACACTCCAGGGCACATAGTCCGCCTCTTTGGACAAATAAGCAGTCATATCGAGTGCTATATCGTAGGAAAGTTGCGTGGCATCGGCCAATGAGAAGGCATCATTTAGAAGACTAGCGCGATCGCCAACGCTAAATGTCTGCAAAAGGATTACGTAATGAGTATCTAAGAGAAAGAAAACTCAATTCCTTATTAAAATGTTTGATCTTTAAAAAGAACCATCCACCAAGAACCAATTTTAAAAGGATTAGGCGATGAATATGAACTTACCTCGGGGTCTGTAAGTTCATCCGCCAAATTTTGCCACAGCTCATCGGGATAATTTACTCGATATAAACCAATTTGATCGTAGTTGAATTTGATCCATTGCACTGGGTTATCGAGGTTAATAAGAACTAAGTACATGAAATGAAAATGGAAACAAGAATTGTACAAAAAAGTCGATTTCAAAAAAACGTTTAATTTAGTGAAGCCCGCAACCGCAAAAATTTATCAAACTTAAGCAAATTTTAAATTATAGCATAGTTACATAGTATACTTACGTTCCGTTTCGTTATATAAGAACCATGCTCTTTGAATTTCCGCAGAGGAACTTGTTTTATAAGTAATTGGAATGGACCAGGTATAACTGATGGAAAAATAAAAAAGTATAAAATTAATTCCCAAAAGCTACACTGTGTAATTCCTCTACCAATGTACATATGTATGTAGATACTAGGGATGCCAATTTTTGTGAAATGCCTGTTTGACTACAATTAACAAAAGGCTTGAAACTATACTTTTAAAATTAGGCTAACGTAAACGGAACAGAAAGTTTTAAGAAATAGTTTAAGTTTAAGTGCAATAATAACAACACCTTTTAACCATACCCCTCTATCAACATGTATTTCGAGCCGCTCGAGGGACAAGCCCAAAATACAATAACGCAGTGGCAGTGACAGTGGCAGTTTTCGAAGTCAGCTGTTTTTTAGAAAGTGTGGTGTCCAATGAAGCGACTCACAATACAGCAGTGACAGCTAGCGGTGCTGCTCAGTTTAGCCCAAATTCTAAATTCATTGCCACTGCCTTCATCGCAGCAAACTTCGCATCTTGAATTTGACATAAATGAAATGCAGCCAACTTCTGTTTATGTCATTGAAGCTAAAAAGGCAACAACAAAAATGTAAACAAACAAAAGGGAATGTCAAAAAAAGCAGTCACTGACAACGCCGTAGTGTGTTTGCTGCGCTAGTGACTGCCAATATTAGCAGTAACAGCTGATTTTAAAAACTGTCACTGCCACTGCGCTACTTTATTTTGGGCTACAATACTAAAGGTGGTGGAGACTAGCTCTATTATTTAAAAAAGAAGCAAAGGAGAAAAGAGTAGGGTGCAAAGCGTGGATGAAAAGAAAAAAAAATTAAAATGTTCAACGTAGCCCAGCTCAGAAATTTCGTATCGAAATTTAAGCATTCTAAGAAGTCACCATATAAAATCCGTTAACTTTTACTATAAGAGATATACACCTGGAATTGTGTCAACTTATAACCGAGAATTTATTGCTTAAACAATTTTATTTAATCCAGCTCATACGGAATACCTTCATAGCCAAAAGTACCGATACGAGTAGGTATCGATATTTTTCGTGTATCGATACTTTATTACGATACTACTTTCAAGTAAAGGTATCGGTACCTGCATGGTATCGTTTCATCCCTAGTTGTCGTTCGTTTTTTACAAAAACAGAAGACACTGTTGTTTGGTTTGTATTTTTGTTTATCAAATACCAAGGACAAAAAATTTACTTCTACAAGTACGAAAAACGACATTTGGCAACATAAACTGATCACATTACCTATAGCGCGTTTTGTAAAAATTTCATAGCTGTATCGATTAACAATAGCTCATTGGAAGAAAATAAAAAAAATCATCTTTACTATGGGAATGTATCTAAATTCAAAACTTTGAAACCGTTATGCTCGAGTTTTTGGTTTTATGAGATGTGACGTCATTTATGCAAAACCGCGATATTTATACTGAAAACACAACTATACTCTCCAACATGAAATAAATCGATACTTACTTGTACGGCGAATCATCGTATATGCCAGAATAGTCTTCAGGATTCGAAAAGAAGCGCCGTTGGGTTAGACGATACTGCGTCGTTGTTAGCTGCTCAACGTCAACAACAGGGAAACCCATTTGCATGGTCCATGTATTCAATATCGATTTCACATCAATGCCCAAATTCAATTTTTCAATCTCGTTTACAAAGTCTTCAGTCACAGCATTACTGAACTTGAACTCATTTAAGTAATTTGTGACGGCCGTTTGAAAATTCTCAGCACCAATGAAGTCCTCCAACATGCGTATCAAAGAACCACCTTTGCCATAAGTAATTGTATCAAATATTTCCGTTATCTGAGCGGGACTCTCTACAGTCTGTATGATTGGATGTGAGCCTAAAGTGGCATCGAGTGTGAGCACGGGGTGTAAACGGGTTACAATGAATTGGTCAAGCTATGGAATAATGAGAAAAGGACTTTCAACCAACTTTTTCTTAATATTCATAATATGAGATTTTAACTATATAAGTAGATAATTAGTTATACAATCTTAACTGACCATATTCCATGCTGGAAAGATAGCGTTTACGCCTTTGTTTTCAATATATCTAGCAAAGCCTTCATTGAGCCATAAATCATTCCACCAGTCCATTGTCACTGCAAGTAGTTAAATAGTACTCAGTATTAGTAAATATGTATTGGTATTATAAAGATTATTAAACGCATTTTATGAGCCACATAAATACATGTATAGATAGCGATAAGATAACTAACTATTTAGTTAGAAACTGAAACTAGATTTGATAAACTATTTGTATCAGATGCATATCTTTATAGGCCAATGGCTGCTTGTTAATTACTATTTTGTACTTCCGTTAACTAACCCAAATTTCCAAACCACATGTGTGCAAATTCGTGAGCAATTACTAGTGCCACACTTTGTTTGTTCGCCGTTGAACTTTCATTTTCATCATAGAGCAGAGCAGTTTCTCGGTATGTCACAAGGCCCCAATGTTCCATTGCACCAGACACAAAATCCGGTATGGCGGCCATATCTGTACGAGGACAACAAAATATATGAAAACGTTACTATGAACAAATTATTTATATTTCTCGATGTATATATGTAGCACCCTAACTTACCCATTTTAGGCAACGGATACTCGATTTGGAAATACTGTATGTAATATTCTAAAACTCCTTTGCCAACTTCCAGCGAAAAATCGACTTTATCAAGCTGTTCTGGAGTCGCAAAAGCGCGCAAAGTAAAAGGTTCACCAATTCCATTTGTATTGATCGTAGTCGATTTGTTTGCAAAGTCCGAAACAATAAAACAGGCCAAGTAAGTGCTCATCGGCACGCTCTGATTGAAGAAGACCTCTACGTAGTTACCTTGATTAGACTCGCGCTAGTTGCGAAATAAAATATAGAAAACATTTTTGGTGTTCAAAAAAAAGGAAAGTAAAACACTCTCCCTACCGAAATATCCATATTGGAGAGCGCATGGTAATCACCTTCCTTGGGATACACTAAAGTGATTAAGAAAGTTGCTTTCATGGCTGGCTCATCGAAACAGGGGAAAGCCTGACGCGCATAAGTCGGCTCAAACTTAGAGGTGGCAATAACTCTGTTGAATAGAATGTTGAGAAATAAATCAAAATTTCAATGCTAATTTAGCTGCTCACTTCTTGCTACCATCCACTTTGGTGTACGATGAACTGTAAAGCCCCACAATTTGCCCATCCATATTACCCTCGAACAATATGCCAACATTAAAAGCCCGCGCTGCTGGTAATTCCTCACTCAACTCCACCACCAAGAACTCACGTACCGTATCGAGGTAGAAGTTCTTCACAAACAAAGTTGGATTATTGGTACCGGTTAGATAGACATTATTTATAGTCAGTTTGCTGGCATGCAGCACAATTTGGTTGATGGCTCTCGTCGTGTTCACACGAATCAATATTTGGCCAGTAAAGTTACCCGTATCAATTTCAGGATGTAGATAAAGATCATAGCTGATTGGGTAAATGCTGTCGGGAAGCCGGTAACTCACAACTTCTGGTGTTGGTGTTGTAGTCTCCGGCAGCGCAGTGGTTGTTGTGGATGTGGCAACTGTTGGCGCTGTAGTTGTTGTGGATGTGGCAACTGTTGGCGCTGTAGCAGTGGTCGCAATAGTGGTGGTAGTGCCAGCAGTTACAGTGGTCGTACCAGCCGTAGCGGTAGTAGTGTTTTCCAACTGATCCAATATATCGCGTACATCGTCTAGCTCAGCCTGCAGATTCGCCTTCTGAACAGCCAACACAATTGTGGACACCGTGAAGGCAGTAAGGGATATGCCCAAACAAATGGCTACTACTTTTGCCGTTATTATCATTTCTCGGGCACTTATGTGATATGTATTGGCGAGGAATATTTAACCGCATTCGCCGTTGTTCACACTAGAACTGTTCAAATAAGATGGAATAATTTTATTTGGCGATTTTACGTGCCGCTATTATAAGGATTATCTTATCTAATCGCGAATTTTTGTGCATTGTAAATCGATTTTGATAATGTAGATAATTATGCATTTATGTGATTAAAGGAATGGGAAGCGTGTAACTATATAAACGTATATGTATATTAGTCATTAATTAGCAGGTGATTAATAGTTTTATAAGCAGTTATGTGTATATATGTATATGTATCTTATTACTTTAAACGAGCATATATAACGGGTGATTTTTTTGAGGTTAGGATTTTCATGCATTAGTATTTGACAGATCACGTGGGATTTCAGACATGGTGTCAAAGAGAAAGATGCTCAGTATGCTTTGACATTTCATCATGAATAGACTTACTAACGAGCAACGCTTGCAAATCATTGAATTTTATTACCAAAATCAGTGTTCGGTTCGCTTTACGTCCGATTTATGGTCTACATAATCGACCAAGTGAGCAAACAATTAATGCGATTGTGACCAAGTTTCGCACTCAGTTTACTTTATTGGACATTAAACCAACCACACGAATGCGTACAGTGCGTACAGAAGAGAATATTGCGTCTGTTTCTGAGAGTGTTGCTGAAGACCGTGAAATGTCGATTCGTCGCCGTTCGCAGCAATTGGGTTTGCGAAACACATTTCGAACCGAACACTGATTTTGGTAATAAAATTCAATGATTTGCAAGCGTTGCTCGTTAGTAAGTCTATTCATGATGAAATGTCAAAGCATACTGAGCATCTTTCTCTTTGACACCATGTCTGAAATCCCACGTGATCTGTCAAATACTAATGCATGAAAATCCTAACCTCAAAAAAATCACCCGTTATATATATCGTCGTTTAAAGTACAAAACTACGCATCAACAAAATGCAAACCCGGCAAATGTCGGTACAAATTTTTTTTATATATTTCCAAAATGTATTTTTTAAAACTATCCAAATGGCCAGTATTTGGTACCCACACCTTGAAAACTTAAAAAAGCCGAGCAAAGCTAGGTTAACTGGGTACTGTATATATACATAAGTGCATAGAAATATATGCATATAAGTTTTTATATACTTGTTTGTAGAGAATGATTCCACATAGTTCTCAATGAATTCTAAAGTTTTCTAATCTACTAATTTAAAAATTAAAAAATTAAGTCCCAAACGCTGACAACACGCTGAAATGCTCGTGTTTTAAAATCTCTCCATTTTTATACCATAACTTTGTATTTACAAAAACATTAACAGGTCGTTACGTATGCTAACGACCTTGCGATGGTTGTGAGAGGAAAATTTCCGCACACAGGTAAACGAACTTGCAAGAAAGTTCACATACTTGCAAGCTCATTTTAAGCGATCTCTTAAACTAGCAAGTGATAATTGGGCTGGTCTCAACAGTTGCAGCAATATGACAGTTACGTGGCCAAATTGAGATAAAAAGGGGTCAACATATCTCGTGCTGAGCAGAGCGGACCTAGCAGCAGCCGTGGGTCTTATAATAGACCATGTTGCCATCGGAAGGCACGCGGAGAGGTGCCAACCTCTCTATAACGACTTATGCAGAAGCCAGAAGAGCCAGAGACATTGTGGCACCTGTTAAGCGAATGCCCCGCTCTTTTTAAAAGAAAATGAAAGCTCATGGATTCTGGATATTTCGAAGACCAACCTACATATCCAAGATAGGCATATGACAACTTTCCTACGGCCTAAATGTGCTGGCGGGGTCACTGGCGGCCACTTCAACTTAACTTAACCTAACCTATTCTTAATAGACACCGATACGAATATATGCTATAGATTTGAACTCAAACGGCTCACAATTTTTTGAGTATGTAAACGACATATCTACCAGCTGACACCCACGGTCTTTTTACTTATACACGATTTTCTAACTTTCGTCACCCGGTACGTAATCATCTTTCCAGAACAAGTCTCTTTTTTCATCATGACTCAGATACTTTGCTCTCAATATAAATGATAGATTATTGAAGAAATTTGTTTTAATTCGAAATAAAATTGAGTTTTGAACCATTATGCGTAATTTCAAATGTTCTATAAACTTCTCAGTATATCACGAAGATCATGTGGTTTTACATTATTTTTAGTAATTCATTACAACACTAATTTCTTTTCAAATCCTTCAACTTGAACCACTCATCAAATACCAACATACGAGTAATTACTCGAGGATACTCTGAAATAGATTCATAAAACATTATAGACTATCCCTGAAGGACCTTATTTATGTATGTACATATATTGAAAAGTAAAATTAGATAGTAAAGCAAGGGTCACACAATTTGCACATTTGTACATACTGGTAATCACAGAGTGATGTTGTCCAAAAATTTTTATCGAGAGTGGATTCAGCTTAGTAAAAAAATTTCCAAACAAGTGCTCTCTGTAACTGCCAAAATGTACAAAGGTATAAATCGTCTGAACCCCGCTTTAGACTATATTTTCAAACCGTATGGGTCTGCAAACATCTGCATTTTTTTTAATTTTCGCAGAGGTAATTTAAAGTTAATTGTTTCATAAACTAAGTCCATTAACCAAAGTTATTTTTTATTGATAACACAAAAAAAACTTATATGACTTACCTTTGCGTACTTTTCCCATAATGTACACACAATAAATCCAGTGGTGTCCCATAAAAAAACTAGTATTTTCCAAATAGTAACACGAGACATATACATATATATATGCTACATACAGTGACTTTACGGGTAGATATATTTCGATCACGGTTCTCATTTAAAAAAGTAAAATATTTCTTATAGACAATTTTCGCTGATTCGTGTAGCGTATTCTTTCAACTATTAGATTAACATGATTCTAGACCACAGTGCGACGTGGAGAAGAACAGTCGATAGAGAAGCGGAGCAACTCAGCTTAAGGTGCAAGGAGCTCAAAGCGATTGGCACCAACAGACCCAGATGGTGCTATGCCCCGCTTGAGATCAAAGAAAACGAAGAGAGAATAATGGAATATACTAGTTTTATAAAAAGATGAACATGGTCAACATAGACACTACTGGCTATGGATCTATCCCAAGGACATTGGTCCAAAAAGGCTTGTCCTTGGACAATACCCAAGTGAAGATCAGAGCTGTAAGAGGCTACCCGCAGGTTGGGGTCATTTCTCCCGTTCTGTGACCACTTGGCGTGGACGGGCTCTCAATCGCACTATGCGGGTTTCGTTACGCTGTTGACTTATGCATCCATAGCATGGTGGTAAATATAAAACAATGCAAAAAAACTGCCATACTTCGCCTTAACAAACTGCAAAGATTGGCATATCTATCGGTCACTGGATCAATAAGAAGACGTTCAACTGCGGCTCTAGAGTCCTTTCTAGGATGGACTCCTCTCCATAGTTTTACCCATTAAACAACAGCCACGAATGAGCTGCAACTTCGACTATCCAATGACGGCTTCTTCGCAAAGAAGCCTCACGCAGTTATTGTTGGGAAGATACTATAGTTAAAAATATGCGGAATCTCTGATTCTATGGTTAGAGCGATTTGCTTTGGCAGAAAGTTCCAAGTTATAGTCCCCGATCGCGATGATTGTGCAAATGCACTTGATCCCAGATACCTACATTGGTACACAGATGGTTCAAAGATGGAGAACATAGCAGATGCAGGTTTTTTTGTACCTAGGATCAATTGCAGTTTACATTGGCAAATAGCCCACTGTGTTTCAGGCTGAAATATAGTCACAATTTTGAACTTCTCAAATGAGAGATAAAATTGGCGCAGTTTTTTTTTTGTATAGGCTCAGACCAAGAGACGAGTGCACTGATAAGTAAGAAGAAAACATGTTAAACTGATCGTTGTGGATTCAGCCTCTAGTCGCGATCAAACAAATTTGAAAAAAAACCGTCCAACATTTACAATACTAAGCAGACCAACCGTCCTTCACTGAGAAGGATTGTCTTCCTCAAACGTGATTTCTCCTCAAAAATATTCCTCTGTCCTCCTTTTCAGGAAAAATATCCTACTTTTTCTCCTTTTCAAGTTGTATAGCATTGATGAAAGTTTCAAAAAATTTCCTTTAGAATATTAATACATATTTTCTAATCGTACGCAATCATTGTATTTAAAAAGGCATTTACATTGTTCAACTTTCAGTAAAATGATGTAAACTTTTGATTCAACTAACCGCCTGTGAAAATTGAACTGTGTAAACGGCCTTTAGCCTAATTCAACCATAGGTTTGTTCCACACGACCCCGCGGGATCCCAAAACAACCCAGAAAGCGTTTCTCACGCTACAAAAGTAGGAAACAAAGAACGAGTACGTTCCACTTTTGGATCGCAAAAGTCTTCTTTGAGCCCGAAACAGCCCAGACTTTTTTTCCGGGCACAAATGTGCAAAAAGTCAAATTGCCATAACAGCTGTTGTGGAAATGGAAAACGCCACAGAAAGCGTCTGGAACAAAGCTAATATTTAATACGGCTTTCCCACGGCGCCCCAATTACGTAGTTCACACTCTCAATCGTAATTCGCACTCCAATTACCCTTCAAATTACGTAATTCGTGATACAAAATTTTGACAGCGAATTACCACATTTGATAGTAATTCAGTTCCAATTACCATGCGAATTACGAACAAATCGCTGTCATCTCTAATTTTCATTGGAAATTTATCGAAACCAGTTCACAAATCAAAACTGGCACTCTTTCTAAGTACGAAAAGTAAAGTTTATACATGTATACATCACCAACTTATTGAGGAAACTTTAACATTTTTAACGATAACTTATATTTTGCCTACATTTCCAAGCGAAGAAAAAACTAAACGCAGAGATAGAGAACTGTCAAATCGAATAAATGAGAATGGGATAATTCGCGATCGAAGCGAACACAATAATTCACGGTGCCGTTGGAAAGCCGTATTACCCTCTACAACACTGAAAGACTAGCTAATGGCGCGTCTTCACAGGCGAAAATTATTGCCTACTATGTGTCATTTTGTTTGCCAAATATGTAAGTGTTTTCCGGAAAATTTTGCCACTTATTCTCATTACTTTAAACGAGTAATTCTTGTGCATATTTATATATATTAGGGTGATCCAAAATAATTAAGGTAGCGAAATTATGAACTTAAAATTAACTAGTTGCTGAGAATGAAATTCTCCCACTTGGAAAACTTTTTTTAAATTTTAAAACGTGTCGGTGGGCGTTTGAAATTTTCTATGTAAATAAAATTAAAAAAAAAAGTTTGTTTCATTAAAAATGTCATAACCTTTGAACCGTTAATAAAAGTTATAGAAAAGGTATACATGTTTTTTTCTGGGCATATTCTTGTAGGACAATACATAAATTATCTAAATAAATTATCTAAAAAATTACCCTGAAGTAGGTTGTTTTAGAGACGATTAAGAGTATTAAATACGTTAATGAAATTTCTTTTGCAAATAATACAATGACAAATAAATAATAGTCAAAGCTTGTTAATATGTGGCGGACTTATAATTATGCAACGCAGTATACTACTAACTTGTTTGACTTGTGTTTAAATAAATTTTGAACTGTTAATTCGGTATTTATGTGTTAAAATTAATATAAACAAATTTTGTGTTTTTAATGTGGATAATTTGTCCTCCTGGAGTGTTGAAAAATTCTGGTCACCTTAACAATAGACACCCACTCACTCGCACTTGATACTTACTTATTTGAATCATTTTAAACCCATTCAATTGAAATCACTCCACGCCCCTTGATTGCTTTTAATGCCCATTTCATTAACAACAAAATTTAAAAACACACAAATTTTAGTCACTTCATATCAATTAATCCAAGCCGCCGGTTTTCCCTCCACACGATAGCCATTATATGCCGCTGACGAGGAAGCCACCGCCGCCAACTCCGATCGCCGACTAGGTTCACCAGCCCAATACGACGGCGCCACTTCGTATGATTGCACCGCTTTATTGCTATTCCTAATCGCCGATAGAATGAGTAGGAATATAGCTAGTTTACCAATCAGTATCGATTTCACCAGCAACAATTTCAACTTAGTAACCAGAAATGGCACAATGGCAGATTGTATAAGGAATGGCAGCACGAAAAGTGGCAACACCTTAGTGACCATATCATATTTCTTGCCGCGACCTAATCAAAAGAGCAAGCAAACGATGGCATATTTCAATATTTGTATAATTTTTTGTTTATTTCATACATATTTCGTTGATATTCGTATTTTGCGAAATTAAATGAAGTAAAATGTTAGCCGATTGCGCCACTTACCTTCCTCCGAATTATCGCTCAACCAGCGTCCGCGCATTATTTCACGCAGGTTATCGCCATCCAAATTGACATTTACGATATCGTTCAGCATATCAAAGCTCACATTTACGCCAGGTCCGATTGCGTAGCGATAATGCTTATCGTCGTCGCTGAGCTGCACGTCGAGTGCGGAGTGTACGCTGTTAAGTGGCAGCTGCTGCATGCTGTTAGTGTTGTTGTTACTATCGCTTGCGTTATCAGCATTTATATTTGCATTGTTAAAGTGTGTATTTATTTTTGTATGCTTTCCACTCGACTGCGCGCGATGATATTTACGTTTGCGCTTACGTAGCTTTGCTTTTAATAACAGCTTGAGTGCTTCAGTTTCGAGTGCGGGTGGCGGAATGGGCGTCGGCTCAGCAATGGCGGCCAACGAAGTTTGGTTCTTAAGTCTTTCGTTTGCTACAGTCACTGCTGTGCCTGGTGCCGCTGTGGCTTTCGAAGTGCTCACGTGCCGCGTGTAGGCGTTAGCAGCAGCATTTAAGCGTTCAATTAATCTTTTTTTGTACTCAGCTGAGGTTCCATTACCCATGTATGTGCTCCTGTAGCTCTTATAAATACCACTAAACACATTTTTTAACGGTCGCTCAGCGTCGTTGCTATGCGTGGGCTGCAACAATTGTTTGTGCGCTTCTTTGTAGTCATCGTTGTCATAATTTTCGGCAATGCTACGTCCTCTTGATGCTTTTGCGCTTATTGGCAGTGTTGTTGTTGTTATTGCTGTGAGGGCGTCATTATCAGTTGTGATACTTGTTGCAGCCTCATCATTTGCATTTTCAGTCGCAAGCGCAAGATTTGTACTCGATTTGGTTTCACTAGTCTCTGTCTCAGCTTCAATGGCGCACAGAGTTTTCACATTTACATTCACAAACACAAATAGCGTCAATAATATACGAAATTTCGCATACATTTTATTTTTTTTTTGGATTTTATTAAAAATTCAAGCGCGTACCCGTCTGCCGCCTAATGTACCAACAACCGTTGCCAATTTTTTTACGTCTTGTCACTCCAGATATCAACTTAGAAATGTGCTAGCCGCCGTAATGGTGTGCATTTTATTAACTCGCATCCGACAACATTGAACATTTCGCATCCAGCGAGTTTCATGGGAAAGCAGCAAGCAACACGTTCACCCAAATAGCGCTTCACAACTGGTGATTCTAGAATTTCCAGTCAACGTTAGCCAAGAATTCAATTAGTTAAGCCAATTTAAAAAAGTACAACAAGATGCGGCACAAACTAGCTTCATGAAGATTGCTAGCCAATTATTTGCAACGAGGCATGAATCTATGGCAAAGTGTCACTTGATGCAAAAGCACTTGTAGTTGGCCAACAAATTGACCGTATATATACTTTCATTCTAACTAGGTTCTCAAGCGAAATAATTCCATACAGCAGTGGCGGAGCAAGCACTACTGCTATTGCACTGATTTTTCCACTTTCTACTTGGCGTGCTTCGCTTTCCATACCAACCAGCCAGCCAGCGGCCAGCCTCTTGCAAAAAAAAGTGCCGCCTCAGAACCACGTTAGCTGTGTATCGATAACTGAATCCGATCGATATATGTCCATACGTACTTATTTGTGCGCCAAAAGTAGGTCTTCAATCTACATAACGTTGATGTGTGTGTACAGATCTACATAGATGAAGAGTAATAGAAACACAATATGCATCGAGCGCATCCGTTAGTGAGAAGAAATAAACACTTAACCCGTTTAAGGAGTGCAAAGAAAAGGCAAGCAACGATATGGCTTAGTTTGGGTGGGAGCAAACTTATTATGTACACCCACAGCATATTAGCTTACTAGGGATAAGTTTATGTAGCTGCAACATATTAACATCTATCAGACATAAATTTCGTAACTGTTCATTTGGCGATTCTACCGAAACGTTTGTTTCAAATTTGCTTGAAAATTATTCGTTTAAACATTTCCGTGTTCGTGAAAAATTGTTGTTGCAATTTGAGTAGTTTTCGCATTTGAAATTCAACTTTTTAATAAAGATAAATGTGCAAACGAAAAACGAAATGATGAAGGAAAAATTTAAGATAAAGACGAAAATGAAAACAGTAAGAATACAAAATGCGCGTGCGAAGACAGGATAAAAATCAAAATATATCCAGTCATCACAAATTTATGTACAGAAAGTTATCTAAATATATCGGATTATCCATGTTTATTGAGTTATCGTAATGTATCGAGTTATTCAATTTGATAAATGTTTATAAGGCGTTTCGAAATTTATCGAGACACAGAAATTTAGTTGTCGAAATGTACCGATAGTTATCGCGTTACAAAAATGTATCAAGTTAATGAAATTTTTTTTTTATAATATTTGTTGAATGAAACCCTATCGCGTAATTATCGAGTTACCGAAATTTATCGAGTCGTGTTGTATCAAGTTCTTTCAAATTATCGAGTTATCGATGGTTCTTGATTGGTCGAAATTTGTAGTTATCGAAATTTGTTGGTTTATGGAATCGAATTTTTTTTTGAATTTTTTATGTATATCGCGTTATCTAGACTTATAGAATTACTTGAATTTATCGAGTTATTGCTTTTTATCGAATTACCAGAGTGTATCAAGTTATCGAAATTCGACGAACGGATATGGAAATTTGTGGAGCTATCCAAATCGAGTTATCGATATATACATATCAATATGTAAATTTTTAATTTTCGATGTTTGTATAGTTTAATTTTAAAATTCACCGAACTATCAGTATGTATCGAATTGTCGAAGTTTATCGACTAACCGAAATGTATCGAGTTATCCAAATAGAGTTTTTTAAATTTGTCCAGCTATCGAGATACATAGTGCCCCATCCTTCCCCTGTCACCCCAATTGAAAATTGTGTTAAATCCTGGTCCGAATTGTCCCCATTCCGTTATTTGACTTCCACCCGAAACATCTTTTCTTTCCAGCGTACACAGTTTCCAATCATTCGCGCTTTTTGTATGACCGGCATTTTCTCATCAATTGTATGCTTCGTTTATTTGCTTGCGGGTCTAAAGAAAATTCTACAAAATTCTTCAAAAAGCCGAAAAAGTTGAATGTTTGAAAAAATAAAAGTTATAACTTTTCTGGTTGGCTTTTTACTAGTTCTAGAGTTTCTGAAATGGAAATAAAAGTTCAGCAAAATTATGCGTTAAAAAATCAAAAAGGTAAAAAAAATGATGCTTGCAAAAAATTAAAATTAAAACAATTCTGATTAGGTTTTCAATAGTTCTCGAATTTCGGAAAAGGAAAAAGAAAAATTTTCAAAAATACGGGGAAAATTTTTTTTTCAAAAATGTTACAAAGTTTAATATTAAAAAAAAAAATAGCTACAGGAAAAGAAAAAAATTCTACAAAATTAAAAAAAAAAAAAATTTCCAAGGTAAAAAAAATTATCAAAACTGTTCTGCTCTTTCATAGCTCCTTTTCAAAAACTATTGAAAATCTAGTTAGAACAGTTTTTTTTCTTTTTTCCACATTCCGTATGCCAACTTCACAGACATGCGCTAAGAACACTTGGTAATGGAGGCGACAAATAACTGTGAGCGAAACTTTACGATGGGCATCCCACCAGTTAAAACTTTCTGTTATATATATTTGTTTTATTGCGGTGCAAGGATGATTATTTTTTGAGAATAACAACGGGGCTGCCAATTGAGGATGTATCCATCTCACTTTCATCGTCAATTGAAATATGCGTAAAATAATTTCGAATCTGATCTATTTCGCAATAATATGGGCGTTAGTTAGATATTATGAAAAATTATTAGTAAATAAATAAAAGTATCTAAATAGACAAAATAAGTATTTGTTGTTCGTTGAAGACAGTCGCTTTCAAAAGCGCAGTACATGGTTAACGTCAGCGTCAAAGCGAGCGCATCGGAGACAGCTGAGCGGCCCTTATGGCATTGACGTTCTTTACAACAAAGTCGAAGTTCACTAAGAGGAAAAATAAAAATTCATAATAGTTTTTTTCTTTCGAATGTCGATTTTAGAACCAGTTTGGAACTATAGAATTTAAGACTAGTTCGAAACTATCGAAAAAGAGAGTCAGCGGGGGGCAATTGACACTTCGCCAATTCAGAACTAGAGATTATCCCCAAAGGATGCTTATGTGTGTGTACACGTGTTCATCAACAAAACAATTTTATTTAGCCTAATTAATAACTTAGTTTTCAATAGAGTTAAAAATGTGATTCAACCTTGCATTGGGTATAAAATTTAAAAATCTGCAGCGGATTCACCTGCTTTTTATTGTTCCATTTTTTTCACATAAAGAGCTACCGAAGATCTTGAGTAAGCTATTGGAAAGCAATTCAATTGATGATTTGTTAATGCCTACACTATTTTCATTCAGATTTGCATAAAAAACATATATGTAGTGAGTATATAGTCAGTAGCTTATTGCTTTTTACCATTGATGAGCAATCAGTGTTGGCGGAAAATGCAGAGTAAAAGCTTTCATTTGTGCCGCAATAACTATGGTTTTCACCACTAAATATGTATAAATAAAATAATTGGCTGTAAAATATTTTGATGAACGGCATTGATATGTATGTGCATAGACACATCCGCTTGACAGTTACGGACTTAAATAGTTGTTCATGCACAATGGCATACAAACAAATTTAATAAAAAAAACAACTTGTCGAGTATATTTGTTAAAACGAACTATGCATTTATGGGCCCGCATATCAAATGAATGACATGTGCCGCTGTGCTGATCTATGCATAATAATGTAAACCCTCGTATATAGGTATGAATATTTTAGTTAAGTACACGCACTTAATCCAATGAAAGGAAAATTAATTTTCACTGCATGTACATATTTATTCTATGCGAACACTTGAAAGTAAAAATGGAATTTAAGTATTTGGTAATTTTTAAACTGGACATAATTTCTTTGGCTATTTGCATACTTAAGGGACTTTTTTTTTAGTTCCACAAATATTGGTGGTGCGAGTATGTAATATAATAACCAAAACTTTGATAAAAATCCTTCGCCGTTTACAGTAAAAACCGCGCATAATTGACCACACAAGAAATACCCTGTTTTGAAATTACCATGAGGTATGCCGAGTTACAAATAATAAACATATGTATATCCATTTTTTAAATTACAGATAATTGTTATCCTGTTTTTACTTTTTAACCGACTTCGGAAATTTTTTTTTTTTTTTTTTTATGTATGTTACCGCATAACTTTGGACCACGTCAACCGATTTCGATAATTCTTTTTGCATCGGAAAGGTAGTGTCTCAGAGGTGGTCCCATACTAATCTGGTTGAGATCCGATCAGTGGATCATGAGATATATATATATATATATTTTTTTTATATGGGAGTTGAAGTCGGTTTTTTTTTTTGCTAAAAATTACTAGTTATGTATGTAGAGGCCACGAGTTGAAGTCCCGTTACGATACCACAGCTAAGAGTTTTCACTCCTCAAAACGCTCTATCTCAGCAGCCGATGCAAAAAAAGATAGGTCGATGTTAAACTCAGGTGTCGATATACATGAATACATACATACATAGGTATATGCATTTGCCAAAAACATAAACATTTGAAAATTAAAAACGAAAGCGTTTATTCGCCCAAAATGCAAACTTGCATTTGTCGCTTGCTTACCTATTGCTTGCTTTTACTGGAAATGACGTCATCTATGCACGTTTGCATATACTGTACATACTAAATATGTCTATGTATGTATGCAGTTATGTATGTAAGCTACCTTGTTATATGAAAAGTACGTGAGGGCTTGTAAACTTATAAATACTTATATATAGCAGTAAATATATTTAGATATTCATATGTGCATATGTATGTAAAACAATGGATGTAAAGAGGAATTTCTAATCACCTAAATACTTACTAAATAGAAAAAGACCGCAGTTCTCTCTTTAAATAAATGCAGACATTTAATTAGGATTAAATGCGCGTGCAGCAATAATTTTGGATAATTATTTTTCAATAACTATCTAAAAAAATGTATTCACCCAGTTAACAAATTTGAATATGATATGATAAAGTATTTTCTTATATCGTACTCGATCATAATGATGCTGAATGAAGATACGATGATTACATATAAACTACCATTTAGCACGCAGACACACAGGAAAGTCTTTATGTTATTCCTATAAAACTGGAATTAAACCAATAAAACCCACACAAACTTACTAACTAATACTTAAAGCCTAATGCATATCCTTCAAAGCTATACTACTTGCAAGGAATGCAGGGGCTAAACAAGTGTTCATTCACATGCCGATTTTTAGGTATATACATATATCGTCGTTTTAAATTCAAAACCGCGTATCAACAAAATGCAAAACCGCGTATGTGAATTATGTAAGTTATCTTCTAGAGAGTAAAAACAATCATATTTCAAAATGGTTATCTTTTTTATAAAGCAATCACATAACTGGCCAGTATAGTTCAGGACGAATGCATAAGGATTGAGCCATGATGGTCAGACATATGGCGCAATAAACAGTTGAAGTAATAAAAAAGCTTTCCCGCTTCATTAGACAAATTTTATAGGCAATTTTTCAAATAAGGCAGTATCAAAATCTTTCTTCTCGCTCTAATTTCTTTATTTAGTATGATTCCGCCTTGGGCAGACAATTGTCGACAATATTCCAGTATTTTTACTATCGCCTAAGTGCGCCTATGAAACAGAAAACCTGTCGCCAACAATTCTGGTTCTGAAATTTTATGGAAAATCAACAATGGTCGATCCTGTCACTTTTATGAAACAAGCGCCAGGCTTTCAATCGCTTTTTTTTATAAAAAAAAAATAATTTTTGTGAAAAAAAAGTATTTTACACTTTAGGGACCAATAATTTGAAAAAAAAATTAAATAAAATCAGCTGTTCTCTACTTACTGTTAAATACACCACAGGCAATTTGATACAAATATTTAAGAGGTAGTTGCACTTTATTTTTTTTTTTTTTAGAAACTGTGTTTGACAACAGACACCCAATATGACTACCATGTATTGTGAAATAGATATAAGGAATTTTAATTTCTTATTATTTTATTTCGATGACAAAAAGTCTACATTTTATTTTGACGATGGCTTTGGCTGATTAGTTAGAGCTGCCACTTCGAGAACCTCGATAAGAGCTAGAAGAGTATTCAGCTGCGCTGGTGGGTTTACTGGGATATAAAATATAAATCATAACACTAAAACTTCAAAAAAAAAACAAGAATAATTTATTGAAGTCTTCTTTGCAATATCAGTATTGGTAATTCCGTTGCGCATTCAAGATTGTAATGCATGTAAGTAAATATACTTTCATATATCGTAACTGCGTTAATTACTGCAGCGAAATACGAATTCATACTAAGTTCGAATATATATGTACTAGTTGAGGTATTCACAACGGTGTCGTAAATGGCTAAAAATATATTAAGGGGGTTCGCAAAGTTTGCAAGGTTCGCAAATAAAGTGGGGAGCAAAACTGAGTACATGTTGTTTTTGTACTGATTTTGATTTCGTTTTTTTTTTTATAATCCTGCCCCATATAAATCAAATTTTCAAACTTCGTACAGAGCTTAGAAACATCTAACAAATTTGGAACCAAATTTTGAAGTTTATAATCTGAATTTTATGCAGTTTTATATCCTATTAAACTTTAATATAATAAATTGCAAATTTTAATCGACTGAAGAATCGTGCTGGGTTTTAATAATTTATTTTGCGTATGGTTTTTTGCACATTTCTCCATGTAAGCATGATTTTTTTATGAAAAAAAAGGCGCAAGTCGGTTTTCGAAAAAAATTAAAAAAATTCAACGCCAATTCTCATAAATTTCACTTGTCATATAAAAAAAAATCCAAAAGCCGTCACAAAAAAAAAATATTAAAAATCAACGCGATTCATCAGTCTCTTGAAACTTCCCATCTGTTATGCTTAAGCAAGCACACCTGAAAATTTTCTACAAATTTAGATTAAAAAGTTCAAAATTTTTATGAAAACTTGTTGAATTTTTCTAAGCTCGGTATAAAGTTTGAAAGATAGACTTATATGGATTTAGTAAAGCATCATGTTTTTATAAAACCTTGCAAATATTTAACAAAAATCACCATGCACTCATTTTTGCTCCTCACTATAAGTCATATTATGAACTTTCACAATACTAAAAAATAGTTAGTTGTGGCTTCAAGTCCTCTAAATACTTAAGTAAGATTTTAAAGTTTACGACAACGAACAATCCGACACCGTAGTGAATACCCCAAATTTAAATGGCAGACAGAGCAGTATCAGACACTACATACTATATACATATGTACATATGAAAGCCAATTAGCCATATTGGCGAACCCCACGTTAGGCATGCATATTTGTATGTATGTACAGTGGCGGTCAAAAATTGATGACTATTGTTTCGTTTTTAATATTCACAATGTTTTTTAAGCTGAAAATTTTTTGATATTTTTTTATAAATATATGGTTCATGCTTTAACGAAAACTATATAAATCACACTTTCAAATTTTATACAGAAGTTAGAAAATTCCACAAGCTTTCATCTAAATTTCGAGCTTTTTAACCGGAATTTTTAGAAATATTTTTGGGTATGCAGTTAACGGGGGCTTATATAATTTTAGTAAAACAAGTGAAAGTTTTGAGCAGCTAAAAAATTGCATTGATTTTTAATATTTTTTTTCTGACTACTTTTGCGTTTTTTTTCGCAAACGGTCTTGCGCATACTCTTCCACAAGAAATTCATGTTTATATGAAAAAAAGTGCAAATGCCATCAATAAAAAAAAAATATATATTAAAAATAAGTGCGATTTTCAGCCGCTCAAAACTTGCTCTTGTAGCACTAGAATTTTATAAGCCTGTTGACTGCATACCCAAAAAATTTCTAAAAATTGTGGTTAAAAAGCTTGAAATTTAAATAAACAATTGTGGAAGTTTTATATATAGATTTTATTAAAGCATGAATCATATCTTTATACAAAAAATTCAAAAAAAATTTCAGCTTGAAAAACAATATAAATATTAAAAACGAAACAATAGTCATAAATTTTTGACCGCCACTGTACATGCATATGTACGCGTGTGTGTACCTTGTACTCAAACATTCAGTCAGAAATTTAGACACCAGCCATTGGTGACTTTGGCCATGGCAATGCGAATGAAAGTTTCTTTTTTGCCGCTAAAGTGTGGCACACACCAATTTTTTTGTCTGCTCGACCAAAAATCGGTAAAAGGTGCTGCTAAGCGAAATGCCATTTACACTTTACACGAATATTTGACTGCAGGAATGCATGCATACATTCATGCTTACCTGAGTGGGTGGAAACAAGTATGTATGTGTGTGTGCATGTACAGCGCTCTATAGTCGCATGTAAATGGTTAGTCGTGACAATTTTGTTACTTTTATTTTTTTATTCTGCCTTCTGTGCTATTTTGGTTTTCTTTTTTTTTAATATTTTTTTTTTTAATTTTTTCATTGTCTGTCAAAATTCTACTTACCTAGCGATGGGCGCCCTAGCGCTGTAACTATTAAAGCGCTTGTCAAGGTCTAAACCGCATTCAATATTTTACGAACTTTCAACAGTACAACAACTCAACCAACGCTGCCGTCGTTGCATTGCTAGTGTGTGTGTGTGTACATGTACGGTTTATATATCCTGTCAATACTTCCATCTGCGCATTTTACCGAGGACAAATAATAAATAACTACAAGGAATAAAAACAAAATGGCCGCCAGCAAAAAAATTGTCTTCGCCATTCTGCTGTTCGTTGCTGTGTTGGGCGAGGTTTTGTGCCAGCAAGTTGTTGAGGATAATGCTTCGGATGTTGCTGGTTAGTTTGCATAGTGTTGTTGGTGGATCTATAGAAAAATTAAATTATAAGTGAAAGTATTTATGAAAAAGAACGAATTATTCTGCATGATATTTTGAAAAACTCAATGTGATGCGCAAGTTATTGATACGAAAAAAAAATATGCTAAAAGATACATTTGTTCGTTAAAACCAAAAAAGTTTCACAAATTTCACAATATTGACCATAAACAAAAAAAATTACTAATGCCGGGTTTCCACTGCCTATTAAATGATAAACTTTTTATTGACAAATTTGGGCATTAAAAATACCTGCGTCATTCATTTTATAAAAATTGTCTTAAGTGCGTTTAAAAAATGTATTTTTTAAATCACGCATTTCTTTTTGTCATTTTAATGCCAAGTGGAAATCCGGCATAATAAAATTTAAGAATACAATACAACTGCCATTTTATGCCACCGACTTTATTTCAATTCTAATTTACAGAAGGTCGCACATTCAGTCATCACTTCCTGAAGCGTTTGAGTTTTGCTGTCATTCCCGGCGCCTTTGTTGTGGGTGTGATCACCACACTGTTGGCTGCGCTCACCGTTGTTTCGATGAAGGGTCTGGGTGTCGGCGTGAGTATTAATCTAAAATTACCTATCAACCACATATTTACAATTACATACTCCACTTCTCTATACGATCGCCTCCTTTCAGGTGATACTGTTGATTTTAGCCATCGGTCAGATGCTTTCACGCGCCGTTCCGCAAGTACATGCGGCCACCTACACCGCACCAGCACCCGTGCCGGTAGTATATTCACACTCGCACACCCAACAACCCGTGTGGCTTGAGAAGGAATGGTAGAATGCGCCAAAAACATGCAGCGCACTGCTTGTACGCGCTGGAATGGAGATACGTGGACAAAGGACGTTGCTTACCTCAATGAAGAGCCCTAAAAACGAACGCTGAAAAGAGACCAAAAATACCATTAACTTTTAATTATTAGCATTTTAATTAATTTAGTTAGTTTAAGTATTTATTTAATTATTTATTTAATCATAAAGATTTTATAATATATCAAATTTGCATACTTGCAAAATGAATTTGTAAAACAAACAAAAGCAGAGATACGAAAAATAAAAGAAATGTAAAAAATGCGCTCATTGAAAAGTGAAATGATTTCAATTGCTCGTGTGCCTGTTTAGTATTCAGAACTGCCGCAAGCACTTCCTCGCTTTTTTTTTTTGGTACACTTCAAACATTCAAACCCCTAAACGTGACCATTCAAGTTTGCACGTTTTGATCGATGGCTCACCATGTAGAAAGAAGAAAGTGTTTAAAATGATTCGGAATGAGTCGATAACATTTGGGAAATGAGGTCGAATACTGTGTTTGGGAAACGATTTCTCGATTTCGATAAAATGTGGGAGTATGTCCGCTGGAAATTACTTTGATTTGCATGGATTAGAGTAACCACATTGGAGTGAAAATTTAATTGACTAAACATTTTGCTTAATTCTTGGTGAGAAATGTTGTAACTAATTTTGCAGTTTTATGGCGTAAATAAATTAGGAGAAATTGTAGAATATTCGCACATGGCAGATTTGTTTCTTTTGCCAGAAAATTTTTAAAGGAAATAGTAAACGTACAAGAAAATAAATCTTAGAAGGCTATGGGCCGATTTCTCAAGTAGGTTTTAATATTTATCTGCCCTTTAAAAAAAAAAAATCAAAACCAATAACTACTAACAAAAATTTTTTTTATCATATCTTAAAATTATTGTAACCAATAGAGTTAAATAAAACTATTCGTCGATTAAAATATGTAGTTAACTTTATACTGCGCATGTTTATTTTACGAGGAGGAAGCATCGAAAGCCTAACCCCGTCCGTGTGAGACTTTAAAGCAAACTAAACTCCCCACCGTCATTGTTTCATCGTCTGCGGTACTCGCCGTCGCCAACGCGTAAAGGCCCGTAAATCTTCCGCAAAATCTTTCTCTCAAAACCTCCAAGAGCTACACGAGGTTATCATTGTCCATGCTTCTGCGCCATATACCAGCGCGGGCATGATTAGTGAGTGTGATTTTCGTACGTCGAGAAAGGACTTCACTCCTGAATTGCCTACTCAGTCCAAAGAGATCTCTCTCACAGCAGGTATGAGAGTCGTTCGGCGAATCCCTTGGTCGTCTGTTTTGATAGCAGCTTTTCGACGTTCAACTTTCCTTGCATTGTTGGGGGCCCTTTTTTTGCTGCACCGAAGTAGTGTCGTGTATTGGCTGCATCAATATAGTGGTCTAAGTCGATGTTTGGCCCTCGGAGTGTACGTATGTACATCTAAAACACTGGAAGCATCGCAATATGCTCGATTTGTTTCCCCGTTTTTCCATCTAGAGACACCCATGTAGCTTGATGGATATTTTTATGCTAGAACCCAGTACTACATACTGCCAAGTTTCGGGCCGCGGTGAAGTCGATCAGCCTCAGCCCGCCGTTTCTATGTGGAGGCTGAATTTTCCAACACTAGCGCCAGAGATCCCAAAGATTTTAACGTGGCGGGACCCAAACCCAGCGCACGCGGGGTGTTACGCCTTCCCACTTTAGCTCGCTCCCAAACTAGTGTTCGGTCGCTACCCAGAGGATTCATCGAAATAACTATCCGGACGTAGTGAGCTGCGATTTGAACCGTAAGCACACGAATCACTTTTGGCCACTCCCAGGTGAATGGCTTTGCAGTACTGGGAAATGTACAAAACCTAGTGGTCAAAGGCGAATATCTCAACTAAACCCTGATATGTTTTTTAAATTCATAGATGTATAGTAAACCAAATAGCCGGACAAGACGTTATTCAAAATAAAAAATGTTAAAAAAATAAACTTTTCCGTATACTCTGTAGTATCCATATGCAATTTTTTAAGGTAAACTAACAATTTATAATTGTTGCTTTGCGGCGAAATATCTTCTCTTAAATTATATACATATGTATCTATAAATATGAAGACGTATTGAACATTTTGAGTATGCAGATTTTTTATGCCGATATATTCATTTATGCTAAATACATTACTTAATTTTGTTTTGTCACACCATGTAATAAATAAAAAATTAATTAAGGGCCGTTAACTTATCTATTTTTTTAAGTATAGTTAAATCATTAGTTATACTTAAAAATTACACAGAATTTTCTGTAGTAAAGTTTTACTAATGATTTAACTACAATTTAAAATAGATATTTTAGCAGTCTCCAATATGCTAATTTTATAATAGAAATTTTTGTGCGCTATGTGTTTTCTGCTACGCAACGCCTGGGTTCAAAGCCTGGTCAAAGCAATATCGCAAAAAAATATAGAAAAAAGGTTTTTTCTTAACAGCAGTCGTCCCTCGGCAGGCAATGGCAAAGCTCCGAGTGTTTTTTCTGTCATGAAAAATAGCTTCTCATTAAAATACAATCGCCGTTCGGAGTCGGCGTAAAACTGTAGGTCCCTCCGCTTTGTGTGACAACATCAAGGCGCACGCCATAAATCGGAGGAGAAGCTCGGCCAAACACTAACATATGTGTAAGCGCCAATCTATTATTATTATTATGTGTTTTCTGCCATCTGCTATAATATCTTAAGAAGTAAACGTCTTACATACAAAAATAAACGTCTTGGCTGTTCACCAAACCGGCCTATAGTTTTATCAATAATCTCAGATTGTTTATGTGATACGAAACTTACGATGTACGCTTAGAAGACACAAACCTAAAGACAAAGTAATAAAAACAATTGAAATTTATTTTTAGTTTACCTTTCAATCCATTTGCTCTCATTGTCGACTGCATCCAAGTTTTTACCCTTTTTAAATGGAAGTGGTTGGAAGTTCGAGAGAATAGCTTGTTACAGAACCGGATGACCCACATATGAACTTTTCAAATCAATTTACTAATTATTTTGTTAGCATTGAGTATATAATTGGTTATATATTTAGTATATATATAGGAAAAAACTTGAAAGTTATGGGGGCCAAAAATTATCGAGCAAGCATTTTCTGGTACTGTTTTTGAATATCTTCTGTTTCATATACGATTGTAGGCAAGTGTGAAAATTTTCGGAAACCGACAGCGATAAAGCCAAAAAGCTCCGTTGGAAAACTTTCACAGGAGAGTTTTGTAAATTCATTTATATGGTAGTTGCGCGCATTTAATTACTTTTCAATAACTTGAATATTTCTTAAAACTAAAATAATGCAAGTGAAATTATTACATATGATTTATATATAAATTTCGTATGACTGGCGACAATTTTGTCAACAACAATTTTAAACCCCGACAATGACAACTTGTCACTTTTTCAATGGAATTTCTCATGGAATTGAAGAGGTGGTAACAATTGTTTTTCTGCAACAAAACACCCACCAAACTGTCGGAATTGTCACTGACAACGTCGAAAATGCCTGTCGTTACAAAATCATCACTGTAACATTATGAAATAGGCCCCAGATGGCCTGGACGAAAAACCTCTTCGTGCATTATATATGTATACCTGTAGATTATACTATTTGATCGCATCTCTGAAATTTTTGTTAACGGAGTTAATCTATTTGGGAATTAAGGCATGCGTCTTTATCACCCTGAAAATATTCGCACCATTCAGCATATCGTTGATAATCTCTCTCTCTCTCTCTATACTCTCATCAAATCATTCTGGTATAGAATGAATATACATATATTTACATTTACTCGAAAGCTTTCATGCCAATGCACCAATCCAATTTCCATTCAGTGATCGAACGTCTATTGTCCGCCACAGCTTTACGGAGGATAACAGTAATTTTCATGCACTCGTACGAGTTTTTAAATTTACTCGCAAATAAGTATGTGCCACTTAAGACTACTTTTACGCAAAATAATAATCAGGTCGTTTTTTCCAATTGCTCATGGATATGTATTAAACTCCTGCGCAATTCCATTTAAAGGGCCTAACAAGACATCCGATAGCCGCGCAAATACTTTCCCTCCTTTACTCTCATCGTTCGGGTCAAGTGTGAGTAAGCATAAACCAGTTTCTGCAAGCGTACGTAAACTACCGATCAAGAGCAAGACGCGTAGAGTATTTACTTTGCCTTCCGCAACTACTGCGAGTAAGAGGTATTTGACAGTAGAGTACTCTACTGGTAGTACTTGAGTAATTTCGAAGAAAACATACATTTGTGGCAAGAATGATAGACGAATTTTCTGGATCGCGCATTTGTGGTATCTGAATAAAACTAAGGACAGGAATGTAGTGGAGCGATGAAGAGAGCGACGAGCAAAACGTCCTTTCAACTAAAATGCTGATATACATACCTAAGTACATATGTATGTATGTGCATAGATACGTATGTGCATAGACACATACATATGTGCATAGACACATACATATGTGCATAGATACGCATGTGCATAGATACATATATATGTAAGTGTCCGCATATAATTTTTCTCGTCACTTGTTATGTCGCTTCACTGCAGCAAAACCAAGTTGTGGGGAAAACCCTGACGATATGCGTACAATTGAAACCATGGGTTTGAAGATAGCGGAAATTGATGTGAAAATTTCAATTTCATATTAAATATATTTATGTATGCATGTATGTACATATGTACATATGTAAAAATGTAGTTTCGATTTAAAAAAATCGGATACAGTTTTTCTTTCGCCATTCATACACCTCTAATTTTAGTATTTATTAAAAAAACTCAATGAAATTCAAAAACTCTATCTTGCATTTGGTTTTACTCAATACCAATTTGAGCTGTCGCAGTGTTATCAAAAAAAAAG